TCGGCCAGAGCGCACTGCACAGGAAGGCCGCAACATGTTGGACTAAACGTTAGTCTCCAAGACTGAGACGCGGCGCATCCCGGATAGTCCTGAAGATACAAATTGTACGTGTATGTAAGGGGAGCGGATTGGACAAGAAAGAAAGATCACGCGCGGTCGGTAGTCCTTGTTAAGGAACTTTTCCGGGATTCGCCTTGTGTTGATCTGAGAAACCACGGCCGTAGCCGTGGGCAGCCGTAGAGCAGCCGACCGTAAATTAGGAAAAGGAGACAAGAAATCGTGGCTTTTATATCACGATTGTAGCAGCGACTGGAGAACGATTGTAATACACTAGCCTTGGGAAATCAATCAAAATCAAGCGGGGAAGAGTAAGTCATTTTGCGTGGTGTGACAGCTGTATAACACATTAGTCAGTGCCTAGATGTATATGCGTCGCAGACAGATCAAACAGTGGCCACGTTCAGAACGAACCCTTATTGTTTGCAGTATGCATTGTACACACTTAATTGTATCATGTAGTTACAAGAATAAAAAAAGACCAGTAAACGTTCATAAGTTTTACTGTGGTTGTCTTACCACGTTTAAATTAATACTAATAAAAAAGAAATAACATCACGAAATGGAATAAATGAAATTACAACTCTTCGAATAATGATTTTCATACACGAATAACAAAAAAATATTGTGATGTACATAACGTGAACATCATTTTTCGTGAATGAAGCAAATGCAGTCTGACAATAACTGCAATGATTGCAATAGGCACATTCATAACTATTTTGCGAGAGACCACCATTTTACCTCTTCTCCTTTTAAAATATTTTGGGTTAATTACGTTGTTTTCAAACGACCCTAGGGCGTGTATGGCACGCTTTAAACACACAACCTTGCCGTATCACACGAACAAAGAGCGTTCTCGCGTCTCGGGAAAACAAATATTTGTGTAGCTGAATATCAACTGGTATACACGCACTAGTCGTCTACGAAACTATTAGCAGTTACTATTATCTCTACAAAACTACTGTTGCTGCATATGGCGCACATAGTTAAACGTGAAACAAACGAAACACAATACCCGTCCGTCTGCACGTCTGCTGATACGGCGGCACACAGCTTCCGGGCCGCCGGCGCAAATAGAAACGGGCGTGGGTGGAAAGCGAGGGGGGAGTGTGGGGAAACGGGGACAATTCTGGCGCCGGAATAGGGTCTGGAGGCGGCTTTGCGGGTTAGATAATCACCGCCCAGGATTAGGAAGTTCGGAGAGCGCCTCTGCGACCGCGTCAGGGGCCAGAACGCCACCCGCGGTACTCTCAAAGAAGGGGTACAACGCAACCCGGTGTACAAAGAGGCGAGGCGGGTGGCGGCAGCTCGGGTGCAGGGTCTTCCCGCGCCACGCGCTCTTATCATCCCCGGCTGTGCCTGGTGTGTGGGGCGTGGGGCTTGCCGCGTGCCACCTGCGCAACGTTGCCTTCTCGGGGCATCCCCGTGCTGGAAGGGTTGCCGCTCGACACAACAGGCGGATGAGGGCGAGGCGGGGTGAGGTGAGGTGAGATCAGGTCAGATGAAGTCAGCTGTGGTGAGGTGCGATGAGGTGAAGTCAGGTGAGGTGAGGTGGGATGAGGTATGTGAAGTGAGATGAGGTGAAGTGAGGTGATATGGAATGAGGTGAAGTGAGGTGGCGTGAGGGCAGGTCAGGTCAGATCTGGTGAGGGGGATTGAGATGAAGTGAGATGAGGTGAGGTGGGATGAGGTGATGTGAGGTGAAGTGACGTGTGATGAGGTAAAGGGACGTGTGATGAGGTGAGGTGACGAGTCGTGGAATTACGGTACGTGGCGTTCGATTGATTAATTGATTATTTCGTGTTTCCCAGCACGTCAACGGCTATGGCCATTGGTCCCGTAAGTGTAGTGCATATCATTCATTGGGATGCGACGGTGATTTTCCACCCACAACAACTAAATGACGGCAAGCGAGGTTATCCCCACTCGATTATTTCCCACCAGCGGGACAACGTATCACCCTGGACAAGCTCTGCGCTCCCGACAAGAGTCGTAGTGTAGAGCATATAAGAGTGTGTAAGGAACGGGTGAGGTAAGGGAAGGACAAATAGCGTGCGGTTCGCAGCCGGTTTGTGGGGTTCAGCTCAGGCATTCGCCTCTTGTTGTTCGGAGAAACTACACAAAACAATCGCTCAGCGCACTTTGCCGCTAGAAGTCTCCTCGAGGCAGCAGTTGAATTTGAACAAGGTAGTGTCGAAAATCCTGCCGGGAGTCGACCGCTATGTCAGAAACACTGCAACGATATCCATTGACGCCCTGTGGTACATTTGCCGGTGGGTGCTTTTGAATAGGAAGTTACTTTCAAGATGTGCTTAGCAAGTTATAGATACTTTTATTCGTGAATAGAGAAAACGTCGATAATCTCAAAACATATACCATAAAATGATCAAAAAACATTGTTTTCCATGCTTATTGATTGAAAAAAATTGGTTTTTCGTTCTCTAAATACAATACAAAACCTGAAACATTTTCCCCTCATATTGTGAATGTATACGATTATCTATAATCAACCCGCGATTTAATTCCGTTCAGTTAACAAGTTTATGTTGAAAACCCTACCACCTTCGGACCACGAACTCTAAGACATTACAGAGGCAGTGCAGTGCATCATGACGCCCTGAGCCACCTAAACCGGTTGGAGTGGCGTAACGTGATGGAATGTGGCATGGCATAGCGTAGCGAGGTGGGTGTTGGCGGGAGAAGGTGTGACGTGACGTGGCTTGGCGTGACGTGGTGTGACGTGGTCTTATGTGACCTGGCGTGACGTGACGTGGCGGGGCATAGGGTGAGTAGTAAGGCAGGAAGGCTTTTATGCGGATCATAAAAGGAAGGGTTTGGGGGATAGGAAGGGCATCAGGGAGAAACCATAGGAAGAATAACACAAGGAGTCACAGTGCCGACGGAGACATGTGGGAAGGAGACAGATTGCCGGCGCAGGTAGGACGAGTCAGGTGAGCAACTGACCAGCCAGACACGTCGGCGAGCAACTGAGGAGAGGACAAACAGGTGACAAGGGAATCAACTTGATGGAAAGGTAGTTGTATTGAACACTGTAACTGCAGAAGTCAGGGAAACGTGAAGTGGAAAGAAAAATTGTATACGCGAGTTTAGAAGGGAAATAGTAGTTGGCAGCAGCAAACATGATGCTGAACAGATGTTTTTCCCAAAAGTAGCACGCATCCTGCTCAAGTGCAACTAACAAAATTGCCATCGTATAACGATAGAATATATTAAATACAATTCAACAAAACATATTTCACTAATATTGCAATAGCATGGTTTGGGACAGACATAGACACAGAGAAACACAGTAAAAGAGTTCTTTTTATAGCAAAAATATCAAAAAGTTGCAGCTCCATAACGCAGAACATGAACAGCTGACATTTAATGGGCTGTCACGTGTTTGAAGCCTTTTTGTCCAATGACGTCAATTGTATCGAAAGCAGTGGCGTACTGAGTATGAGAATCCAATCAGTACGCGTAATCAATACGCGAAATACCTCATTCGAACACTTTTCAGCCAAACGCTGTATTTGTTTTTCTATTTTTCCTGAGTTCCTCAGTATTTAGCGAAATCAACGACACCTCTCAGATACGTGGAGGTTGCTTATTTTTTCTTTCAATTTCTAAGCGCATTGAAAGTTAGTGATATAAAAGTCTTAGGAAATACAAAAAAAGAAAGTATCTCAATGATTGCAGGAAATAAGTATTACTGTAGTGTCTACACTACAGTAAATACGTATTTACTGTAGTGTAGAAATAAGTATTACTGTAGTCCAGGAGAAAAATGCAACTTACAAAACTAGTTCAAGACTAATTATTCTGAGGATTCCATTGGAAGAAGTTTTGATAACAAATATCGTGTAGAATTGTTTGTTGAATTTTGTGTCTCTAGACCCTGAACAACAGCAGGACTGGATAGTGGCTATCCCAGGGTATTCCAGAGTATATAAGGAAACGAACAGAATGGAATAACAAGACTGGCTTGGAAAGGCTTGGTAAACGGAAAAAAGCTGTCTCTGTAGGAACTGGGGCTCTAGGAGTTATACCTAAAAACCTGACAACCACCTGAGCACAGTCCAGCTAAAAACTCCAAGGTAGTGTTACTGGTATCCGTTCACATTCTGAGTAAGTTTTTCTTGGATTCCAAGGGCCTCGAGTAGAACGCGAATTCTGGCAAACGTATAAAATTGTCTTGTTTAATAGCAAGAATCAAATCACTAGGCCTCCTATTTACCACAAACACTCTTCCACTCAACAACCTACATTCAATAGTACAGTATGAAACGATGAAGTAATGATGGGCATTAATACACGAGTGTGACATTACGATACGAGCGAGGAACGATCAAGTATTGTAAACTTTACACAAGTGTATTAATACCCATTACATCGAGTTCCATACGGTACTTTCTCTACGACTGAAGGTAACTTTTATACATTAAACTTTTACATTCAATCATTTTGTGGCAGTTGTGGAGGATTCAGCCAAGGTCACATATCGAGCAGCGTTTTGCTACCCTAACCCTACCCTACCCTGTGGCAGATGGATTTTGTTACCAGTCCGCCTGCGAGGGAGTACTGCACTAATCACAAAGAATCATAGTAAAATTACGATCAAATTCATTTTAAATAAAATTCCACGAAAAATTCTATTAATAAAATAAATTAAAACTGACACACATACTATACTAGTAAAAGTAATTTTAATGTAAAGATTCGAACCAAACATTTACTTCATAGATTTTCAATATTTAATCGTCAATAGTTGATTAGTGAACTTTTCTGATTGGTCAATAATTAAATCTGTATCGTAATGAGTATCATTTTGCAACTGATTGCAGCCAGGAAATTGACAGTATTATACAATGGGAGCTGAAAAAATGTTTTATAGCTTCATTAAGAATGTGTACATTTAAATAAAAATACAGTGTACTCACCAAGAAAAGCCGTTGGGGAGATGATCCCGGTGCGTTTTGCCACCAAGATGGCTATGCCGGTCTCCATGAAGGGCACAGTGAAGTCCACCACCGCCTCTCGCTCAGAGTTGATCATCAGCGATGTCATCACCATGTCGGTTTTTCGGTTCACCAGATCAGCTATCAGACCGTTCCATTTTCCGTTCTGTGCACACAAACGAAAAGTTATTGTTTGGAACGAAAATAAACACTTTACGTGTCGCAAATGACACGACAATCGCAAATAAATGAATAATTCACAAAGTGGGTGCCATCAATTGTGTGGGATAGATTCAAACCGATTTAGCATTATTTCAAAGTTACATCCACTCTTTGAGTCTGGTTCCCCCCTAACGTTCCTAAAAATAATCGAGTCTTTTTCTAGAGTGTATGGAGACTTCCCTGACCAAACTGAAATCACGAGTTGTAATGGTCACGAAGAACGCCGTTATCAATAATGCAAAATTCGATATAATGGATTGGGAGTTGCACAATTTTTTTGCATATCTACCCAAACTTGCAAAAAAGATGATGAGACCGATATCCGCAACCATTTTGTTTGACCTTTCTGTGATTTTGATAGTGAGCAATTCGAGCGATCGTGACAGAGGGCAAATAAAACATATTTGTCACTGGCTGGAGGGCAGTAAATTATTTTGTTGTCTTTTGCATCTGCCTATATTCCCCTCTCCTCCAATAGCTGTGCTGGTTACCTCGGTGAGTATCCTCAACTCTAAGGATAGGTGTCAGTTACGGAATCGGGTTTTGAAATAAGGTCACGCAATTTCTTTTTATTGTTCAATAAAATCAAAGATCAGAGTCTGCGACAGCCGATAACCGCCGATGTGCCGATAATTGCCGTTGTTATGTTACCAGCGTCAACCAGACGACAAAGTTCGTTGGCGTTCCAGTAGCGCCAGGAAGGTACAGTGATATATAAAGATTGTATGCACCATTTAATGGAAGAAAATGGTGTCTTTTTATATATATGTATATTTTATTTATTTATTTATTTATTTATTTATTTATTTATTTATTTATTTATTTATTTATTTATTTATTTATTCATTCTCTGAAATGAATCTCTGAAATGTCTGTCAGTTTAACGTGATATTTGGAGAAATATAAAAAAACAACAACTTAAGCTATGAAGAAAACTGATTACAAACATACATAAGTCGAAAATTCGTCGTTTTCCGACGCACGATTACGTTTTCTTTTCTTACAATGTAAAGGCGAGAAAGTGAAAGGGCATTGCAAACATTTAGCCCAGAGGCTCCATTTAATCGCGACATACGCCCGATGAAACACGCCCCTGCGCTTAACATGAAGAGTATGCAGCGGGTAAACGAAGTGAGACATTGCAATACGGTCTTACACGTGTGCGCGAAAGGGAATAGATGGAGAGCAAAAAAAGGGAGGCGATTATAAGATTATGATTTTATGTGAACAATTCGTATTTCGAGAAAGACAGGCGCTATCGGAATGCTGATTTTTTATCTCGTTTAAAGATCATTCAGATGAGACAAGAATGTCAACAATTGAAAATTTATAAGTAATTTCCAATTTCTGCAAGTAGGCAGCAAAACATCGTCCATTAACAATTTTCAACAACTAGCTATTTTATAAACAACTCTGAAATACGCGCTAGAGCTCTCGGCGAGTGTCCGATAATTATATCCGAGTCAAACATTGGAAACTAGCAAGTTTGAAATGGGTTGCAAAAGTTGATTGCCAATGTTAGTTCAAGTAGTTAAAATTATAAATATTCACTGGTCTATTGGCAACTACGCAACCGGAAAGTCTTTTGAAAATGACAGGTAACGAATATTTTTCCATTATTGCGTAGGCGCATAAAAATCTGAACGTCGACAGTGAGAGATGAAGGTATTTCTGTTCCATACGTACACAAACGTGGCCCTGCTCTCAGGAAAGCGTCTTTCCCGCCCCTTGGAATTTTGTGCCAATCAAATAGACGAAAGCAAACGCGACACGAAAGCAAAAGCACATTAGCCATGTGTATCTTCCCACAGGAAAAAGGACGCTTGCCTGTGAAGTGCCCACAGGAAAAAGATGCCTGTGAAGTAAATCTTTCAACAATTCCCGTCCAATCAGATCCCATATTCACTTAATAGTGAAACGCCTCAAGAAATGCGAGAATATTCCTGAGTGAGTTGTGATGCTCTCTGGTGGCAAATACGGGACAGAAAACGCTGTGAGTGTGTCGGGGACTAACTAAAGTGTCATCTAAGGAGACCAAGTGCCCTAATATGAGAAAAAATTATATAAAATATAAAACAAATTATTACATATTATTAAAATTAAGGTCTACTTAAATGATGGATACCCTCATATATGGGCGCTCCAGCCTGGATAGTCTTTCCCCCCTATGTCACGTACATTTTTTACTGTTTTTTTGACTGAATAAATCTAAAATCTAATTTAAAAAATCGAAACTTTTGCGTGCTACTGTTCGACATATTTTAAAGTAACTTCACTCGGTATTAAACACGGTGAAAATATGAGATTGGTAGGTCGTTTAGCTTTACGATAATTAAAATCCGTTGATTGGTTCAATCGTCGCGAGAATCCAAAGAAACTCCCGAAGGCCGCGAAGAGCAATATAAGCTTCCTTCGCGCAGGCGGGGAGAGCCAGCTCTTCTTTGATGTTGCGTCGCGAGCACTAAAACGCGCCTCACAGCCCCTGCTGTCGGAAATGGCCGCCGCCGCCTTCCGGCGCGTTCAGCGGAAGTCGCGCCGCGCCGCGCCGTCGCCTGCGCGTCCTGTCGTCGTCGTCGGCCGTCGTCATCGCTCTCGTCCTTCCCGCCGCCTCCTTCGTCGTCGTCGTCGTCGTCGTCGTCGGTGACGGCCGTGGGGCGTGGCAAATTGCGTGCATTGTTTGTAATTTCTAAGGTGGAAATAACGCAGCGCATAAAGCCTTTGTCGACAGCGCGTGCCTCCCCGGCGTTCCCCCTCCTACTCCTCCCCCACCCCTCATCCGTCCTTTCCTCTCCCCTCCAGAAGCAGCGGCTCTTCCCTCCCCTCCCTTGCGCGCCCCGCCGCCTCCGTCGCCATCGCGACACACTTCTCCCGCCGCCTGCTTTTTTGGCTATATTCGGCTTAGGCAGCAGCGCCCGTCTCGACTCACGGGGTGGCAGCTTTCACATCACTGCCTGCGCACGGTCCGATTTCCCACTGGAGCTTGGCGTCTGGGATATCGTAGTGATTTGTGGGGGTGTTACATAACTAACTACCGTAAGCGCTCTCAAATGACGTCCATTTATACAGAAATTATTATTATTATTATTCATTATTATTATTATTATTATTATTATTATTATTATTATTATTATCTATTATTTATTATTATTATTATTATTATT